TTATTTTAATATGTTAAAGTAGACATGGACCGTATGTAAATATAAATCGTAAACCAAGGGTACGCAGACCCTTCATCATATAATATAAATATCATGAACAATAATAAGTGATATCTACCAGACAACCTTGCATGGACAGGAAAGACAGATCACAGGATTTATAGTTTATTTGTTTATTTATTGTATATTATGGTATTTTATAGGAACAATCAATTATGCTATGTGATGTTGAGTCGTGTAGTGAATACAAATGTTTGCGACTAAAGGAATACTTATTTGATAAAGACTGGACTGCGGTGGTTTTTGATAAAGAAGATGGCCTCTTATGTAGCGGAGACCTACAATAGGCGTGTCGACAGGGTAAAAAAATCAAAAAAGTAATTAGTCCGTCATTAAGATCGCACGAAAATATCAGACACGTATTTTTTGTTTTATCAAATTAACAGAAGAATACGTAGTTATTCCGCATTAAAGTTAGGGAGTGGGGGGTGTTGACGTCACACTTACGGAGAAATCGTACCTAATTGTGACGTCACGCGTCATTTTAACTCAAAATATCTACATGTTTTTTTGGATACGAGAAAAAAGAAAAAATACGTATCGAAGATTTTTAAAATATCTAAAAGACGGACAAAAAATTAAAAAATAGTCGCCATGCCTATTCCAGCAGTGTAGGTCATGCTGATTATTGGATAAAATCTAAATATCTCAAAATAACACGTATATTTTGTAGTTGGGGAACAATTCTAGGAGCAGACGTATTTATTCAAATTTTTTACCGACTTCAAAAAAAAGAGGTACACAGTTTGACCTGTATGTGTATATGTTTGTGCGCGAATATCTCGCAATTGACTGAATCGATTTTGATGAGCGTATATTTGCACCCCCTTTTTTGGAAGTCCCTTTAATTAATATTCTAAAACTTTCTCCTAGGTGTGACAAACACTATTCTGAAAGCCGCATCAAAATCGATTCAACCGTTCGCGATATAATCGCGAACTTACATACATACAGGTCAAACTGAGTATCTCCTCCTTTTTGAAGTCAGTTAAAAAGAGGGGGTTTAAGGCGGTTCTTTTAAACATAATTTAAAAAAAGAATTTTAATATCAGGCGTAGAATTAATGTCCTTAATGAGCCTTGGGTGGTAAGGAAGACACCCTGGACTTTCCGTACTCTGTTTTACGAATAGCACTTTTTCTAAAAGAATCCATTAGCACCTTCCGGAAATAATGGACTCTTGCAGTGACGCCTAATTCTAAAGAACCAATTTGTAATCAATCTTAATTAATTCCTTATAAGGTGATCCCTTCAGACAGGGATAGCGGACTATTGGTACGTTATACACTGTTTTAGGCGCGTTGCTACTTATTCACAAAATTATTTACCCAGTTAGCGACGCAATTATTATATCTTTAGTCTTGTTGATGTACTTAACTTACGGTACAACTGACAAGTATGGCCAGTAAGTTTTGTTACTACTGATAGCCTAAAAGTTCAAATTATTTTATGACCGCATATTTTAAGCGATGCATCGGCACGAATGGGCCGGTTCGACAGGAGTAATACCACAGCCTCACAGAAAACCGTCGTGAAACAACGCTTGCGTTGTGTTTCGTCGTGTGAGTGAAGTTACCAGATGCCCAATTAACCCCTCCCAATCCCCAACAATATAATCCCCAAAAGGCCGATAACGAACTTGTAACGCCTCTGGTGTACCAGGAGTCCATGGGCGACACTGATTATTTATCATTAGGCGACACGTCTGTTCGTTTACCGGCTTATCCCATAAAAACATTTTACAAACACCTTGATAAAGGTTAACCATTCCTGAACTAGAAAATAGTTCAACGGTCATTTCGATAGATATTAATGAAGAAGACGGGTAGCCGACGGCCTTGTAACCTAGTTTCAGGTATTTAATGTTAGGGGTCAACTTTACTGTTAGAAATGGAACATTTGGGGCTGGTTTTTGACCTGAAGTTGAGGGGTATTATTTATTCAATGTTTCAAACTCGGCCTAAAAGCGTCTCTGTTTACTCTAGCGATGTTAGACAGTAAAGGAATTCTTAATTATTGTTTAGGCTTTATTTATTATTCATTTGTCTGTCGTACTGTTGAGTGTTCAGATTTAGAACCTGTGATCAGAGTTTGTTAAAACTCAAGGGTTTTTATATTTAGTGGGAAAAGCAGTACATAGCAGTAGGTTTGGCTTTTTACAAGTTTTACTAGGTTGTGAGTCTCTGTGTGATTGTTTTCTTGTAAAGGTAAAATGTGACATGAAAGTAACTTCGCGGATGTCGTGGTGGCCCAGAGGTTTTCAGATGCCCACTTCTCATGGACGAGAGTGCGGTTTCGAAACCTACCAACTACCAACAAATGTGACTTTTCCGAGTTATATGTACTTTCTAAGATTATCTAGTCACTACTGACAAACGGTGACGGACAACATCGTGAGGAATCCTGGGCTTATAATTTCAAATGACAAGTTTGTATTCGCCAATCCGCATTGAGCAATCATGATGGTTAACGCTCAAACCTTCTCCGTGTGAGAAGAGCCTTTGGTCAGCAGAGGCCACTTATAGGCTGTTGATGATGATGACCTAACTTCGAAGTTTAATCTTTTTATTAAAAGTTATTTTATGACCACGGGGTCATAAATAACTGCTGAAAAAAAGTTGCTTTAATTTTACAAAAAAGATAAATATTCCAGGAACGTATGGTAACACTAAGCAGCGCGGGCGCAGTCAGTGAGCGGCATTCTAACAATTTGCAACGCTCGTGATAAGCTAGTTTGTGAACTATTTGCATTTAGGACGATTTTATTTACTTGTAATCTTTTATGGATATGACCCAGTTCGTATTGTTTACGCATTATATGAAATAGACTGTGAAATCTTTTGATTTAACGACATTTATATATTTATATAGAGTCGAAGAAATATGTAGTTTGAACACTAAAAAGTGGTTCCAAACCCCTTATTGCTATGAGATTCTAAACTGAATATTTTTAAGGCTTTAAAAAGAATCGGCAACTAGACCCTTGGCCGATCATGCCACTTGGAACTGTCTCACATCTCTATCATCTTGTAATGGTAACAATAAACCGAAGAATTACAAAATTATAACGCCTATTATCGATTTCCTTACAATTACAAGATACAATTGCCAATGTTCATCAATTATACAGTTTGATTGTGTTTCTTTGCCGCAGTTTCATTATAGGAAGTTGGCATTACTTAAGTTTATGAATAATTATTGTAATTGATTAAACGACGTGTAATTGTTATACTTACGGACTATGGACGGCTGTTAATAGTAGTAACTGGAAGCAGTCAGTAATTGTTGGAATAATAAAGTTATTAACTAGTAAAGTTTATATATGTCTTGAATCATTTGTAGTTTATTTGATGAAGTTGTATTGTATAAGATTATGTTTTTATTTATTTTATTTATTTATTTCAACTTCATACAACAAGTGTGTACAGGTGGACTTAATGCCTTGGGCATTGTCTCCCGGTCAACCTTTAAGCAGTGCAGAGATGAAAGTAGCAGGTGATTTAAACCTTTATAAATAGGCAATGTACCAGTGTAATAAATAACAAATCTTACAATCAGAATATTCAATAAACACTAAACATATAGGTATATTTGAAAACTTATACATACTTACATATAACAATAATTATGTATACAATATTAAAGTAAATATATAAATAAAAAATAATGAATATATATATAGAAATATATATGTACATTATAAAATATAATACAAAATATTATATATATATCAAGTAGAAATATATCTCTTGAAGAACATTATGTTGTTGTTTCTACTTTAGAAAAAATACTAGGTTCGTGCCACTGAGGGGCTCCTTTTCGTGGCGCGTGAGTAACTTGAGATTTTTAGTTAATTTAGTATTTCTCACTATAGTTATTATAAAAACACTTTTTGAAATGCAGAAATAGACTGATATTAACGCTTTTTGAGTCCATTTGTACTCGGAAAGTTAACTTTAGGAGTTAAGAAGAAAATTGGTGTAATATCATGTAACAAAGGTACCGAAATATTTATCTAATGTCGGTACAAGCAAGTATTTCATAAGTAATTTGCACAGCCAAACAGAATGGGTTGGCAACAGACATATTTAGATGTTCGCAACCTCGATAGCTAATTTTCAATCAAGTCGATTCGAAACATTTAAAGGGTTAACTAAAGTGACTTCTGTCAACGACCATTCATTTTTTGCAAGCTTTTGTAATGTCATGTTTAATCGACTTTGTATTTTGTATGTAAGTAATTATAGGTCTATAATAACAGCAATATAAGAGGTTAAAAAACCCATAAACGTATGAATATTGAACGCACCAATTTACTTTGTATGTTCGTTTTTTTGTGCGTTAGTTAAATACATTTCCACTACGAAAAGTAATTTGGAAAAATACCAAAAGGTCGATTAAAAAATGGCATGCCGATGTGGCAATTTATGGTAATAGCTGATTGCCTGGTCACGCGATGCTACCTTATTTATTAAGGAAAAGTCAGACAGAGGTGACAAGAAGTAAACAAACGATTTTCTAAAATACCAAAGGCCAAGATAATCCAGTTAATGAAGAAAGTACAGAGGTTGTGCCTCAATTAGAAATTAATTATCTTGCTGACAAACTGTTTGCAAGTTCAACTGCGGAATTGGAATAGACACATTGATTAGATTCCCCGGTTGTGAACTGGACACTGCGCTGTAGAGTCTTTTGGTAAGCTTTCTGTTATTGGTTAACTTTTGAAAAATGCATACCTAATTATATGATTATGTCCTTACATCGACACAACAGTGTAGTAAGATGCACTGTTAAAATAGAGCCTATTCGTCTCGTACAACTATCGCCACATTCATCAATATTTCAATCAACAAACATTATTAAATCTCTATTACAGGAACCGTTACACAAATCCATTAATCAAGGACACGGCTGATAAGTATTAAACTTTAAACAACATACCTGTTTCACAGCGCCATCGACGTAATCTTCACAGACGTTCTTAGCGAAGAATGTCTCAACCGGGAACGTTCGGCCAGGGATAGTAAAAGTAGGCACGTTGCCGAAGAACGTGGAGAACTTTGTGGAGTCCATAGTAGCTGATGTCACGATTAGCTTCAAGTCTGAACGACGGGCCACCACCTGGGGAGACAATAATATTGGTTTTATTTGGATGTTCTTTTTAATCGTTTTATTCTTCTTCACGGACTCGTGTTCAAAGAAAATGTGATTGAAGGACAAGAGCACTCATTCAATTCCTTTTTTTATAGTCAATATTAATTATTACAAAAATCTTACGTGCTATATTAACCACATTATTTTTACACAAAGTACTTTATATCTGCTATCTACATATTTTACTACATTAACCCTACTGGTTCAGCCCACCAGTATGCGAGCCGACCTTCTCCAGCAGAAGCAGTTCACGAGCGTGACGTGTGGACCAGATATCGGTCCGACCAACCATTTCGTAGGGAACGGAGCGAACCCACCCACAGCGCCACATTATTTGGATGTTTGATTTAAGCGTGAAGAGAGATAAATGGAATAGTCAGTTATAGGTACTTTCGGACTTATCTGACCTCCGGTTGGACCAAGTTAAAGATTAATTATAATTTTATCAGAATATTGAGACAAGTAACCGATCGAGGAGAAATAAATCAAAAGTTTCACCTTGTGTAAGTCAAGATGACTCAAGTTTTCAGGTATGATTAGTAGCATTATACGCCAGTTCATCTGATAGCAACTCAATAAATAATTGTATTTTACCGTTTACGCAAATAGTAGACTGTTATCGTCAATTAAAAAAAAAAGAAAGACAGCGAATGCCGCATCAATTAATCATTGACTTTATTGACATAAACTGAAACATTTTTCAGTCGCTTCAGCATTTTCAGCGGTCCAATAACTCAATTATAACATAATTATATTGTCAGTTGCGAATATTACATAATTATTCATGTGCTACTAATAATGGATTCGCAATTAATTTTTGATAGCTGCAGAAAGTGACTAAAATATCCTTGTTTTTAGGTAATCGATTCAAAATTAACGTTCGATAATTTCACGGTTGAATGGCTGCGCGTGGGCAAGCTTGCGCAACAAATTGTATTCAGCGAAAAAAATGTGCGAATGTTTCGAACAGTCTATTTGTGGATACTTGGGTAACAATAGAAGTGTTAGAAAAAATAAATAAGACATCCTGGGAGTTAATTTATTTCTGCAAATGTTTAGAATTCAAAAGATTTTTTTTATTGTTTAGTTTGTCCTTGCGTTAGTAAAAGTTGAGAAAAACGTAGCTATTGTAGTCTAAGCTGATAGGCTTTTTGTGAATTATTTTTTATTTAAGTTCCTACAACTTTTAAATCAGTGTTAAATTGCATTCTAGCAATTGTACCTCTGTTAACACCGGAGTAGGTAAGCATAGATACAAGGATACCTGAATAAAAACAAATTTGATATGCAAAGATGGTGATGAAGATGTCGAAAGCCCTAATTTGTCACCACTCAACTAATATGATTTTCATTATATGTAGCCGAGAATTAAGATCCTGTGTAGTATGAATTGAAGACATTTTTCAATTTTCTTTCTAATAGATAATATAAAAGACAGTAATTCAGAAAATTGCGCCTCAGATTTTCACAAATGCCTTTGGATTATATTCTGGCTAGGTTTTATATGGCTATAAAATGTGAAAATTTATAATGGAATTTTCAAGTTTAAAAAACATTAAGGACTGTGGTGTCAATGAATGTTAACAATTATGATACTTCTACAGAAGAATTTGACCCATATCTTTCGAATTACAGGCGGATAAGTGTGTTAACAGTAGTTATTTTTGTACATCATCATCATCATCATCAATAGTCGGAAGACGCCCACTGCTGGACAAAGGCCTCCCTCTTAGTCCTTCACGTTGAACGACAACTCGCCACCTGCATCCACTGGTTCCCCGCAACTCTGGCGATGTCGTCGGTCCACCTAGCGGGACGCCTGCCCACGCTTCGTCTTTCGATCCGTGGTCTCCACTCAAGGGTTATTTTTGTTGGTCATATCAAATTTTTACAATATTGGATTATGAAAGAATCTGTACAATTTCTTTTAACATTTCTATAAGATGTTGTTGAAGTCTTTATTACACACTATTGTTTATGTTGCGTTTATTTAATGCCGTGTTTCTATTCGAATAATTTTCACTTAACAAGTCGACTTATCTACGCGTTAACATTTCAAGTACTTCCTTTATCCTATTTCTCCAAAACAAAGGCATCTATTACCCACATTCAACTTCCATTAGTTGAGTTGAATCCCTTCCCAATTCATTTAGGAGATAGTTCTGAACAAAGCGACTGGGGTACACAAAATACGTCATTCGAATGACGTCAGAGTCAGGGGCCCGGGGGACACGTTGGAGGGTGATGTTTTAGGGGGGAGATAAAAATAGACAAACATGTCTAGACTACGCAGTTACAGGATGGTTTTAAATGTATGCAGTAAAGATACCAGATCATGTTTAACTGCAGTCATATATGGTACAGACGTATGAATAGAATTTAAAAAAATTCTGCAGAAAATACTAACATGTGGTGGATATTGGTTTAAATGTTGGTGTTTAATTGGCTACATCATACATCAATAGCCATTAAGTGACTATTGCTGAGCTTAGCGTCTTCTCACAAAAAGGTTTGAGCATTAATCACCACGCTTGCTCATTGCGGGTTGGACTTATGACTGAAGTCTAGGTTTCCTCACGATGTTTCCCTTCACCGTTTGTCTGTGGTGTCTAGATAATCTTAGGAAGTACATATAACTCGGAAAAAGTCACAGTGGTACTTGTGTTGGTAGGTTTCGAATGTGCATACTCATAATATGTGAAGCGGGCGTCTTAAACTCCGGGCCACCACGACTGTGGTTAATGGCTTTAACAGATGTTAATTTTAGCCTGTGTTAATATCTGGTGATTTCATTGATATTGTATCGCGTTTTGGCGACTTCCACTGCTCTCTATCGTGTTACATTGAATTACTCGGATTGTTAAAACTAGAAGTAGTTTGTTTAAAGGCAGCAAATATTGTTTTTTTCATATTATTCCAGAGACGTAAGAGAGGCGCTCTAATTACAAGACGTATAATTATGAAAATCATGTAATTATTTGAACAATGAAAGTAATATGGAATTATTAATTATTTTAATTACACACTGTGAAGGAAGCTAAAATGAGTTTGTAATTTCAAAGACTTTGCCTCAGCTTACGAATAAAATAAGGCATTACAGTATGATGATCAATGTGTTGTGTACCTACTTCAATTTGTATTGTATGAAACATTCTAATACATAACAAACTAACAATTTAGGTTACTCATAAATAGTCATACTCGTATTTAGGACGACCCAGAATTTTGAATGTAAATAGGAAAATAGAAGTTTGATCGTGGAATTCACGACCGAAATAGTATTAAAACTAAAGTATTCAACTCAGCATCGCGTAATGAACAGTTTAAAATAGAACTTTCAAATGTATTTCAGACTCCATTGAAGAGATTTAGAGGAATGGGAATTCCATCAAAAATGTATGAATAATAAACATAAAGAATAATAAAGTACACAATTATCTTACGTTACTCGTCCATCGAGATGACGCCATTCAGATCACGAGGTGTCCCGTCACTCAGACATGTGTTTGCCAAATAATTCTTTTTTTTCAACTTTTTCATCAATAGAGAGCGTGATTTGGATCATTGGCGTTCCTGCATCTATCTAAATGCTATTTAGCGCTTGTCTACATGTAGAATAGAAAACCAAATTATATGGAATGGACGTAAATTTTGATACTTGTCGGTGTCATCCCCATACATTTTGATTTCTATTCTCTCTGTAGACAAGCGCTAAAGTGGCGTTTGGCTAAAGGCCCTGGGCGTGTCACTGTTAATGAAATAAATAACGATGGAGTTTTCGTATTTTGTAAGGGAATGTGTTGATATTTTATTGGCATCCATTGTTCTAAGTTAGTGGACATTCGCTCCTAAAGCTGTCATCAATATTTATAAGGGTTTCTACCTGTAGCTGTAGTCATTAAAGCTCACAAACGTTTGGTAAATACTCATTTTGTATGGTTCTGAAGCCAAAAGCCAGTACATTGCAAAACAAATTTCAAACAAAAGGCATAACCGAAATCTTTTTACAGTATCATACGTTTGATAATAAGTAGTTGTATCGTAAGATATTTCGTTATTGGAAATCACTACATCTGTCTGTCCCTATGTATGCTTAGATCTTTAAAACAACGCAACAATGCGGTTTTTGCTACGTAACAATAAGATGCGGTTTTTTTTAATAGATAGAGTGATTGTTAAGGAAGGATATATAACAAATGCATATTGCACCCGTGCAAAATGCATTAAGTTCATCGTAGAATTACTTATGTTTTTTTTTATTTGCTGGGCCGACGTCTGACCACTATATTGTCTGGTCGGAAACGATGATGCGGTCTACGATGGAGCATGTAAAACTAACCATTAACTTGCTATTTTTTATTATTTTTTTTTAAGGGGGGAAAATCATCCAATGACTGCTCCCGCCTGGGTGAGGCGGAAGGGAGTGTCAGACTCTTACTGACTAAAAACCACCCCGTTCCTTCTCCTGCACGTCGAGCCGGAGCCCCGGTTACCCGTTAGGTTCTCCGCGACACCATTAACTTGCTATAAGTATACAAAATTCTACATATACTAAGACACTTTTAAAATACTGTTTATCTTAGGATTACGTAGCCGCGGGCGGAGTGTTAATTCTAAATCAATACCACGTACGCACACCTAAACAAATATACGTGTAAACCATAAAATTAATCCAACAATCTGCAACAAAGTATCATCGCTTAAAATACATAAATATAACGTATTACATGACTGATTACACGAAATTCCAGTACATATCTCAACAATTTCCTTGACGTCATTATTTACCTAGTCTAAACAATAGTTTGTAGTAAATAGCCAGGCAGGAGAACTACGCCACTTGATACATCAACAGCTGTACTCGTATGTACGTAGTGTAAATCTTTCACAAATAGCTTGCACTGAGCTCGCCGTGATAAAACCCGAACATATTAACTGAGATAGCGGCTTTAAATAGATTAGGTGTA